AACAAAGCCACACAGCTTTCAGAGTTTAATAAACAATGATAAATTACAAAATTGTGAGATATACAATCAAAGCTAAGGAAAATCTCTATACAGAGCATACAACTATACATATGTAAGATAATTTATTAGTCATTTCTTTCTGCAGGTCTATTTTGTTATAGGAAAGTATTGCAATATTCAAACCCGCAATTTAGCAAGATATGTAAATCAGAGCTGGTGGTTTAGCTCTGATTTACATATTTTGTCTTTACAGAATTACACTATTAAAAATATAAACAAGGGCACATGTAACCTTTTAGTGGACTGTAATCTATAAAAAAAAAGAGCTGCCTGTTTGCTGCAGTGGAGATGAAGATGGTCCATTCAGGAAAGCAGAGCTGCAGCAAACTTTAACTGGAACTGCAGAAAAAAAAGAACAAAAGCAAAAATTGAATTGTTAATGCATGTCACTATGGGAAAAGCCTATTGAGTTTTCCTTAAAACTTTTTTAAACATTTAAATCACACATTTGTCTCCTGAAGGGAATTTTCTTTTGCAAAACAAACTTATTTGTGCATGTCAGAAATCTTTTCTTGATATTCTTTTTGTTTGACTCAAAGTTTTGCTTGTGATTCTCACATGACGTCATGGGCAGGACCTAAAATCACAACAAAAGATTTCTGATGTGTGCAAATAAAGGATTATGTTTGGCAAATAACTTAAGTTCACGAGACAAAAATTAGTTATTTAATTAAAAAAAAAGTTTTTTAAACAAAATAATTTGTTTTTAAAAAAGAAATCATTACAATTCCAAAAGTTTAAATTTTATTTTACTTAACTGAGGTTAGTTTATTTTTTCCCATTGAATAATTGGGGTTGAGTTTTTTCCCCTTCATTAATGACATACATTATATCTATCATGGTAATTCAGGGTGAGTTATTTTTAATTCTAAATGAATATCCTTGTTGGACTTTTATTTAAGTGCTATTCTCCTTCAAGATACATTTACCTAACGCCAGAATAAATGCAATGTACATTATGCAGCAAAGGAAATTAGAAGATCGGACATTATGGAGATGATCGGTTTTGGACGGGC